CCACTAAAATACAATCAGTTCATACATCCAGTTGGCCCATTCTTGTGAACACAATATGTCAAGAATGCCTTGAGAGAATTTCTTCAATTTTGGCACAACCATTCACTTGGACTCAAGGATGGACATAGAACCCCAAAACAATGCCTCTGGCTGCAGCTGTCACCAGTGCAGAGGTATTTGTACTTTTATCCAGACTAGTTGTTTCCCTGTCTCTGATCTTTATGGTTTAGCTTAACCAGCTGTTGGCTGTACCATAGCTTCACATTAATGTACATACTGTATATGAGCTGAGCAAAGGGCACATTATAGGAATACAATAAACAATTATCAATACCACAAACAATAGCCTCAAAAATAACGGTGATATCTGAATACAAATGTCTGACTAGCTGACATAAAAAGAGCATTACTGGTTTCACAAAGTCATATCTCTTGCAGCGCTCTTGTACAGACTACATTATCAAGAGGGTGATATGCTCAGCCCTGATCATTTTCTGTCTTTTGTCAATTACAAATTTTAGTGAAACTTGAAAAAAAAGCACAACATGAACCCAGAACAGAACCAGTGATCTGTTTTGAGAGATAAGGTGAATCCCTTACTGTATGCAGAACGTTACCCTATCAAATCAAAGCTGTTACGTCATCATAATAAGACATTTAGAGCTCTCTGCAGCCTTCGCAGAAGTATGACGTCCAAGTAATTCCTTGTATTACAAAGATGTTTGCCTGTTGTGCCACCTGGTTATCAATACAACTCAGATCAGAATTTGCATATACTAACTGATAAATGTTGACACTGAAGCAAATACTTTTCTTTTGGCCTGTGGCCAAAATTCACATATACAGTAACTGTAAAGAAAATAGGGAAACCAAAACCCCCTTATAATTTTTTACATAAAAACTGCTTTATAACTAATCTCAACGTTAAAACAAACATCTTGTTCATCCAGGCCTCACTCGTGCTGTAGACGTGCTGCCAGAGGGCCCTGGTTCAGCGCTACATGTCTTCAGGTGTGTGCATGATCAGCGGGTAGGTTACATCATCTCATTGACAGTGTGTGCTGATGCACAGTATATACTCTGGGAATGGACCGGATCGCTCTCGGAGGCACTGACAGTGGTATGCTGACAGAAAAAAAAAAAAAACACAATCATTTTCACAATGAATTATTCAAATCAGGTTTGATGTTTTGCTTGAATACACGTGGCAAAGTACTAAAGAGACAGTGTTGTCCTGGAAACATCCGCATAGCTTAGATACGAAATGTAGCCGCATTGCTCCAGTTGACCTGCTGAGATAATAGTAGCTTACATGCCCATTGACAACATGCTCTGACAGCAGTTCAACAGAAGCTGGCAGTAAACCTGCTGCTGACAAAAACTGTTACAGTCCATTTCACTTTTAACTACTTTTTATGTTAATTACCTCATAAGCCATTATGAACCTGGGAGTTGCTAGTGCTGATATTAATGTCTAACACGTTTTTTCTTGCAAAACAGGTCATGATCCCAGTGAGACTACCTATTAAAATAAATAGAATTTAAAAATACTTTTTGGACTTTCCTCTGGTCTGAGCTTTTATGTGAAATAGCAAATGATTATTCAGGCCTTGAGCAATTAATTAAAGGATAAGGTCAGTCATTTTCTATAACAACAGTATTTTAAACACTTCTCATACAAAGACTAAAACCAACAGTGATTTACCTCTTCTCAGGATTAATGTCCATCATTCTCAGTGCTTAACAATACCAATTACAAAAACATCCGAGGAACACACCCCTGTGCTGGTTGACTTTTCCTCAATACAAAACATAAGACTTTAATATTTTTAAAAATGTTGCCCCAAAGGCTCTAAACAACTTTTTACAGCATCTGAAATAAGCCAGAGTCAAGAGCCGATGCACAAGATCTCTGGGTAGTCTTAACAATTATTAGGGTCTTGTGTTTTGTAGTGAAGAAACATGCCACTCAGTGCAGCGGTGTGCTTCTTTAAATCATTTCTGGACAACAATAGAGGCCTATACACAGATGAATAAGCTGATCCAGGACTGACAGACATTAACAGTGTGTAGAGGTAAATCACTGGTAGTTTCAGTTTGAATAGGGAGTGTTGAAAACAGCATTAATATAGAAAAATGGCCAACTTTATCCTTTGATTAACACAATCTGAAAAGTGGAAATGCTAAGTCCTTGTGTTTTTGTTTGTTTTGTAAAAGCCAAAAACGATGGAAACAACTGGTTGAATCTATAACAATGTATTGTATTATAATATATTATTTGTTCTGAAACCAGATGTGTAGTTGATACAGTATTTCTCACAAAAACCGTGCAGTACAATTATAAGATAGTATAAAATGGGAAAACTCAAGTTGTACTTACAGTAAGTGCAGTACTTGCAAGTTGCACTGTTGTTTCACTTTGTGTAATAAGTCACTAATCTAAAAAGTGATTACCTGTCTTCACATCTGTAGTAAGATGGGCAAAGAACTCATCAAGTGCATGGCTATTACCCAGTTGGAGATTAAATGACTCTTTGAGATTACTGTACAATATTTCTGAGTGTGAAGGTTCCAAATGATTCCACTCTGCAGATGCTCACCAGTATAACAGCTTTCCACTTCCATTTTTCATTAATTCACCAGTGCACTCTGGTGGTTTAGGCATGTCATTGTAATCAACATGGACAAACAAATAATATGAATCCATCTCTTTATTCATGAGGCCTAGCCCACTTAGAACCAACCTTTCTGATGGTGATTACAAGTAATGGCTTGTCCTCAGATTCCAGGTCTTCTTGACTCCGATAGTGCAAAAGGCTTTGCACCCTGAGGACACCATAGACATTCTCCAAGCGATTAAGGTCCTCTCCAGGCCGAATGAAAATAGCAAGTAAAGTAGTCCTGTGAATGATAATGTGATTAAAACCATCATAAAGTAGGATAATATATGGAAATAAAATCACCTTAACCTTGATTTGGCCACTTATGGCTGACTGAACCATGCACAGAGGCTGAGCAACAAAGCCACAGAAGCAACCAGAACAGACTATTCTCTGGAACAATAGAGAAACGAAGAGGTCATTTTCAGGAGAGGAGACAAGGAGAGGTAAAGAGATGAGAGGAAAGGAGAGGAGACAAAGAGAAAAGGAGATGATCTGTATCTCACCTGTTGCAGCCAGCAACAAATCATGTGTCTTGAAACCATCCTGACTGTGTTCAGTTCTCCGTGTTGTGTGAGCCAACAATCATGTGTCTTGAAACCATCCTGACTCTCAGTTCTCCGTGTTGTGTGAGGTTATATTATACTTGGGGCCCCTTCAGACAGAAAGCATTAGATAAAATGAATCTTACTTTTTCTGAACTTTAGCCATGAGATGTGTTAAGGGGAGATTTGTCACCCTCACAGGTCTGGGGATAAAGGTGGTGACAAACCTCCAGGTTCTACTTTTCTCCACTGGAAACAGATCCACAAACAGCTGCAGACTTGAAAGCAGAAGCATCTTTTTCCCAGAGGAACATCCAAGAGCACACCACAGATGGCTCAGTCTCCTGGGTCCTAGAGCCCCCAGGGAGAAATCCTTGACCACACAACTGCTGCTGGACCCACCCTGTTGCTGCTCACACACAGACACATTTACACAAAACGTGTCTTTAAAGTGGGAACGGATGAACCTGAATGTGTAAAATGCAGCCAACAGAGGTGACTTACAATATGATAATGTCAGTTAAAGTTGTGTCTGCCATCAGCAGATCAGTGTCGTGGATCTGTGTGCCACAGTGAAGCAGGCAGAACACAGCACAGCGATGTAGCTCCGCAAGCAAAAAGGAGACATTAAAAACTGCCACTGACTCCAAGGGGTAGATTTAAGTTAAATATTCACTTTCATCATAATGATGCCTGGCAGAAGGGAGTAATGATGACATTAAAGAGGTGTTAGTCCAACTCTCTTTTAATTGATTGTTTTTCTTTTGATTCACATTAATTCAATAGAGACATTCACATTAGTCCCATCAAATCCCTTAATAACACTCTGACCTACCACCTTTGTTTTTGAAGTACTCTGAATCTTTCCACATGAGTCGGATTCACAGGTCTACAGAGTGCGAATGATAAAATTACAGATATAAAATACAGCTTCAAGTACTTGTGGCAAGATGTTGACATTCACCTGAAAGGGTTTTTCCAGTGCATGGCACTATATCGTCAGATGGTCTGCAGTTAAAGACTAATTATTCCTCCAACCATCCATTCATACACACACAGTACAGGGGATGAACAAAATAACAGGTACACTAATGAAATCCAGTACAACACCACTACAAATTACAACCTTAAGAAGAGTTTGTTACAATCTCAACATTTTATGTTTCACAAAGATATTTGTGGGCAATTCATCAGGATAAAACCACTCATCTGAACAAACGCCTGTATTGAATTAAGGGACTCTGAGGACTGAGAAAGTTTGCTCATCTGACCTCTATTCACTTGGAGGTCATATCCACAAGTGCTTCACTTGCTTCTACTCTGTAATCCAGCAGAACTGTGTAACATTTCCTTTATCTCCCTCACCCGTCTATTAGCTGTCTGTTTACCCATACGTACAACAAATCCGTGCACTCCACCTGACCTCCTCTCTGAGAGATTTGAGCTTTCCTCATCTTCTGGAGTTAGCTGTTGGCAGGTCCTTGGAGGGCTCCAGGGCCTGCTCTCTCTGGGAACAAGCTGCCAGTAACTTACTGGCCCCCTCCCACATCTGCACTTCCCTCTCAGTCTTCTTCTGCACCTCTTTGTCCTGCCAAAAATTCACAAAAAGGGAATATTTTTAAAGCTATATATCAATAATAATTTGTTGACTGAACTATTTCAACCATTAGGACGGACAAGGTCTGTGCAGATGTGTGAACAAAAGCAATACATAATCATATTTACAATATTTAGATTACTTGAAAATGCAAATACAATACATGATCACCTCCTTTCTCATCCATGTTGCTTCTCTGCAGTCAAGAGGTCTGTGCCAGTCTCTGTGCACTCAGCAGGCACAACAGTGAATGCACTGACTAACCTTACAGCTGAATACAAGAGTGTTAAAGTGGACCTGCAGGCAGAGCAGTTAGTTACTCAACACAGAGATCAAAACAGTCTTAAGCCTCACTACAACAGGCTGCAGCATAAGGGATTAGAGGAGACTCAAACTTTAATCTTATATTCCGACAGCTCACATGCACCACTGAATGCCTAAACAGTGTTTCACACAGACACACGTTTGAAAAATAGACTGATTAAAACAGACATTTACCTTGGTTTAGAAGAACAGCTCACTTAGGGATGTTACTCTAAAATGTAAAGTTGTTTATGATGTATTTACTGTTATACAGGAAGAACTTCTATTTCTAGAATTTATTACATAGAAAGTACACAGGTTACCTAAAAATAATCTAATATATGCATTTCAGTCATATTCACATTTAGTGACCATGTCAGAGGTGACTACACAACTTCCTGGTATACCTGATTTGTGGTATAGTGAATAACTGGATTATAATATTATATGTTGTCTCCTTACTACAATTCACAATCTGTGGTGCACATTCTGGACAAAAATGAAGAATTTCATCAGTACTGGCGTAAACATTAGACTCACTTTGTCATGCACTGTTCATCAAGGGCTGCCAGCCAAACATTTCAGATCTATATGAGCTCAGACAGAAAAAGATCAACAACAAGACGATTTAATGTGACAACAATGAGCTGGTATCTTTGTCAAGCCCTAGTAGCAGCTGCTGTACTCTACACCATAATACTAAAGACTGAATCCAATGGTGATGGAAGAATATTTTTATTCATATCTTACAGAAGTCCACGTTTTGCTTTCCACGAAACAAAGGTACAGCATGTTTGTTTCAAGTATGAAACATTAACCTCAATACTGCATCGGTACAAGTTTCAGACACAGTATTCAGTGCACACAATGTCTTAAATTATGCTTGTTAGTCATTTTCCTTAAAGTCTGACTATGGCTGCATGGGCTGAACTGGCAGAAAATGTGGATGAAATCTTAATAATACATTCTGTCTTACTGTTTTCTAAATGAAAAGCCAATTTTAACATTTTTTTCAAAAACAAATTAAAGATCAGAGCAGATTGTTAAATATTAGCACAGATATATGCATGAATGGCTTTGCAGTACATTTAAGTGTGCGTCTGTGTTCAAATGAAACCGGTGCGGGTTGCAGGGAATCAAAAACCTGTTTGCTAGTGTACATTATTTACATTTTCACAAATGGTTAATAAACAAATGAACAAATTTGAGGTTTATAACATAATGAATAATTGGAAAAAAGCTGCCACCTCCTTCAGTCAAAAAGGTGATGATAACTAAAGGCTGTCTGAATGTCTGAATCTACTCTACGTATTCAAATTACCTGTGTTTGTCTTTATAGTAAATTCAGCTTCATGTCTTTAGCTTTATCCACAAAAAGAAAAAACGCTGCATTATACATTAATCTTTACAGATCTAACTTAACAATTCACCACCTGGAGGTTTCCCCTCTCACTCTGCCTCTCTATGGCGTTTATCCCTCTTCTACTTCTGTAAAGATGTCACTTAAGAAGTACTGTGACACGCTGGTGGGCTCCTCTATAGAGCTGCTCTCCACGCTGTCACTTTGCTGGGAAGCTGAAACCTAAAACAAAGAACAAAGAATCAGTTGTAGTGTGTTAAAATCCCACTGAACTCAGACAACTATCCCTTCATAGAGCACCAGCCTTACCTCCACTGTACACTGAGAAGTGCTAGGTGTTGCGTCTGAGCGTGGTCGGCTATGGTCAGTGATCAGTTCAATATCCACCTCTGTTTTTGTTGGTGGAGTCACAGCGGATGCCGAGTGCGTTTTATGTGGCAGTTGTGGTGGTTTAGGTGTCGGCGCGACATGTGATGATGTGGTAGATCGTTTTCCTGCGTGTGGAGTTTTGACCTTAGGGCTTTTGGAAACTGCTTTGCCAGGTGGGCGATCGCTTGAAGACGCAGTGCTGTTTGTGTCAGAGAGGAAAGAAAGAAAAACCTTAAATTTCCTGTCAGGAACTGGAAAATAACAAAATGACAAAAGACAAAATTCCTGCAAATGAAGGACATTTAAATCAACTTCTGATGCGCTTGTGTTAACAAATGTTAGCATGCTAAATCACCAAATTATGACAGTGAACATTACCTTCCCAACATCATATACTGTTAACATACTCTTAGTTTCATTTAACTAGACTGCAGGTAGATTGCAACATGATTCAACAAAGTCAGGGAAAAGCACAGAAACGTTTATTGTTTGCCTTGCCTCTTTTGACAGCTGGCCACTCTTGTCTTCGCAGTTTGACTTTGCACTCCTGTGCTGCTATCCTCAGGGCCCTTCCCACCTGTCAGAATGTCCTTTTCAATGTCTGTATGATCAACGCTTCCTTTATGTGGCTCAGTGATGACCTCTTTGCCTGCTGTTGCACCACAAGTTTCTGGCTGTACAGAAGGGCCAAGATCCTCTGAACCCTGGGTGGTGCTGCCGGATTGTTTCCTCCTTGCAGTATTGGGCTTAACCTGCAATTTGGCTGGTTCAAAAACAGATGATGATAAAGATGCGTCGCATTGGCTGACAGTTTACGTGATGACTATGTGCTTATCCTTGAGTACCTCTTCTTCCAGTGCCTGTTATTCTCTGCTTTGCAGGAGGGGGTTCAGCCTTGGTATTCTCTCTAGTCTCTGGAAACTTGGGTGACTGGACTGTAGTACCCTCTGATCCATTAACACAAACAAAGTCAACATTAACCGTCTTATAAAACATTAACCATTAGTTGAAAAAACATAGCTGGGAGTAATATGATTACACTACCACATGCATCCACTGGATTCTTTGTGGTTGAACCCTGTCACGTGTGAGGAAAAAAATGAAACTGTGTGACAAACGCAAACATTTCATCACAAAGCAGATACAAATGGTTTCTATGAAACTTCACTTACTATATATGTAGCTGGCTCTGGCCCAATATGTTTAATACTGATGCAGCTCATCTCATCACTCTCCTGCATGGACGTGGGCACAGAGACATCAGAGAGAGACCGATGTCCTGCTGCTGCCAGACTCTCTCCAGGGACAGTGCTGAGGGGTGAAGAAGACACCAAATAAAATAGACTCCATGCTTGTCTGAATGACTACCAGATAAAGACAAGCACCGACCTCTGTTGCTGCACTGGTGCATGTGTTACAGAAGGATAAGGGAGTGGCTCTGCTGTGCTGTCCTGCACCTCCCCTGATGAGCAGACTGGGATCTCAGTCAGGGAGAGGATGAAAAACGGTTCATCTGGATCTGAAGGCACCTGCTCCGACAGAACTGAGAGTAGAAGAGGTTTCCGTCAAAATCACGGTGCACATACTGTGAACACGGTACAGTGTCAACTGGTGTGCGTGGAGGTTGATCTATGGCTGCCTTACCATCTGGAAATATGGTGAGATTCGGATAACTTTCTAGACTTGATGTTGATGTATTCTAGGAATAAGACAAAGAGAAACATTTGAGATTAATTCTTAATTAAATGTGATAAAGCTTCTGGTGATAAAGTACTGAAGCTAGCTTCCCATTTGTAGTTATAAAGAAGCAAATACTCCATTTTTTATTCCATTTATTGTTCTGAAATGGAATGAAATCAATAAATAGATCTGAAAGTGGGTTTTACAGAGTGTTGAGGCTTTAAGTGGGATGTCTAAGACCCTTTCACACATTGTCTTCACTGACTAACTGATGTGCATTCAAGACGGTAACTTTCTCGAGCATTCAGTGTGTACATACTCTCACAACTTCCTCTGGTTCCTGAACAAAGCCTTACATCTCATTTTCCAAATTAGTTGAGCTACTCTACTCTTTTTACATCCTCAATGAAAGCTGCAGAGGGACCTGCTGGGGTACATGGTCTGTCTTACCGGCATATCGTTACATGATTCTTTAAGGTTAAAAATAGACACTGCAATCGTACATAAGATGCTCACAAGTCATGCCACCTGTTCTTAAAAGACTAAGATTATATATCTTACCTGGGTAGAAGGTACTTGTGTCATGCAACCCAGAGAGGATCCAGCATGATTTGAAGGGGAGTCATGTTCAGTAACATGTGTCAAGCAGCCAAGAGAGGAGCCTTGGTTACCAAGTTGCTCAACAGCTCCCTGTACTGGTTCCTGAATATCAGCTCTGAGTTCAGACACAGGTTTGTGGGAAACAGTAGCCTCCACACGCTGTGAGCAAGTGTCAGAATCTGTGGAAAATAAACATCAGTGATCAGTGAAGGTAGTACAGGGCCATGGAGGCTACAGGCCAGAAAGTCTGCTCAGCATCATTTGGGGTTAGGGCACTTTCATTTAAAAGATGCCAAACCTGCTTCTGTTTGTGTTTTCTTTTTGACTTGTTGGGGCCGTGGGGGTTGAGCGCTGTGTCCCAGGTTGGGCTTAGGTTTAATGAGCCTGCCTCTACGAACTTGAGGAGTTCTTCTTGAGGATGTGGAAGAATCAGCTGGCTCTGGCTTTGTATCATCAGTGCTTTAAGTGGAGGAAAATCACTGTTAGAGGAGAAACTTCTACTTATAGTTCCTTTAAAATGTTAGGCTGTAGACAAGAACAGTGTTTATGCTGTTAACTGCCTGAGGACAACTGGATGCTGACACACAATATGACATCTTACCTTTGGGCAGACTGAGATTTAACATTTGATCCTGGCTTCGGTTCACTGGTTGCTGCATCTTGACCTTTTACCTCTGAGTGGTTCTCTGAACAAGACTGATGGCTACTTTCTTTTGGATCTTGAAGGGAATAGACGTTAGCAGTCAATACAGAATTTATCTGTGACTCAGTGGAGCCGTCTTCTGAAGAATGGACATTTGAAACTGCAGTTGCTTGGCTGTTTGACCCTGTGACTCTGGTGTCCAGCTTGCAGTACCCTTGTGAAGAAGATCCAGCCTCCACATTGTTCTTACTTGGCATTTTGTCCCTTGTGGATTCATGTCCAACTGTGGATTTTTCACTATTTTTATTTTCAGGAACTGAGTCTGTCAGCATAGACTGATGCTCAGAAAGCCAAGATGTTGCTATGACGATACCATCAGAGGATGTTCCCTTTCCATTTTTGCTGTCCAGTGACATTTCTGACTCTGCAGCTGAAGATTTTGTTGAACTGAGCAGTTCTGTGTTTAATGAACAACAGGCTGATGTCAAGCACCTGCTGTCTTTCTCAGTCGCCTCCAGTTCTGCTTGTGCTCTGTTATTGTCCTCAGACTGATGTTGTGAGGTTACATTTGAAGAGGTGGCCTCATGGTGGTGTTCTGAGGGTTTATGGGTATCCTTTGGCTGCAGTTTTGACTGTGCTGTTCTGGCAGATGACCCCAGATTGGGTTTGGGCTTTATCTTGGGAAAGCGTCGCCTTCTTTGAGGTACATTTGGTTCTGAGCTCTCTGAGCTTGAGTCTAGTCTGACATCCGTCTTCTGTTCCTCTGTGGATTTATGAGTAGTGCTTAATTCAAATGATGGTACTGAAACTGAAGCAGTGCCAGTACCCTGACTTGGTTTTTCAGGCTGGAATGTATGGCAGGCTGGCTGTGGTTCTGTCTTGGCTATTGGGTTGTCAGTGGATTCAGGCATTGAAATTGAGCTGGAGAGATTCTCCACAGACTGACAAGCAGCAGTGACTTCACTCTCTTCTTTCTTGCCGACAGGTAACTCTTCTACAGGTGTAACACATACCACTGGATGGCCGCTGCCTTCTAGGATTGGGGATAAGTCTACATTTGACCCTTGTCCAATTTGTAATTCTGTAATTGCTGACCTGGAGGTCACTGGCTTATGGCAGCTACGCTCTGTCGACTCAGATGATGGCATTGCTTTTCTGCCAGCCTGTTCCCTATTGGGCTGAAATGAAGCTTCATAAAAGTTCTGGTTTTCTGAGGCACCCTGACCTGATGCTGCTGCACCTGAATCTACCTGAGCAACAATTTCAACATCTGTCCTTTTCTCCTGGTTTGTAGACAATCCCTCTGTGGGTGTAAGAGCAGAGCCTAATTGTATCAAACCTGACACAGGACCAGCGCTGTGGCTTGGTTTTTCATGAGATGGGACATGAGTTTGTTCTTGTTCAACCTCTTTTTTTGTTGGAGGCTTAGATCGAGCAGTTCTAGATGTCAGGTTTAGTTTGGGTTTGACTTTTTGGAATCTACTCCTCCTTGACTGGCAAGTAGATGCGACTTCACTCTCTGCTTTCTGACTGACAGGTACATTTTCTACAGGTGTAACAAAGGCAGCAGAGTGGTGACTGGTCTTGTCTTGGACTGACACAGAATCTGCTTCAGTGACAGATGTGTCAGATGCTGCTGGATTATTAGAATCACTCTTGATTATGTCAACAGGAGACATGAGTTTTTCATCTGTGGACCCTGCTTCTCTGGTGACATTTTCCAAACTGGGATCAAACTCTCTGTTCAAAAAGTGCCGACTCTGGTTTTCTGAGGCACTCAGATCCGATGCTGGAACATCTGATTCTCTCTGACCAACAGACTTCTCCTCACTGCCGGATGGCTCTTCTGTTAGTTTGACTTCAATGCAGGAAATGCCATTTTTTAACAATCCTGGAGTGCTTTCTGGTATCTCAGAGGTTGTTTCTTCAGGAGCTGATAGTGATTCAGGGACTTGAGAAAGGTTGGGAGCTACTGTGGGGCTCTCTTCAGTTGACCATACATCTGATGACTGTGGTTGGGATTTTGGCTGTGCAGTCCTGGAGGGTTGGCCAAGGTCAGGTGTAGGTTTCACCATGGACAAGTGTCCTGTGCTGGTTTGTGGTGAATCTTTCTTTGAGCTCTCTGGACTTGACTGCATTTGAGTCCTCTGCTCATTACACACTTGATCAGTGGTTTTAATAATGGGTATTTCACCACTGTCTGCGGTGCTGTGCTGTAGCACCATAGTGGCTTCATTCTCTGATGTTTCTGTGACTCCATGAATCGAGGCTGTAGACACGGAAGAGGCACTTTCTGCTTCTAGATGTTGGCTGGTTTCGTTCACACTGACTGAAGCTGTCCCTACAGTAAAACATAATGGCACAGTTTAAATTTAATTTAAACCTAAATGAAATTCCAATATGAGGAACCTTTCGGTTTCTATCTCTAACCTGTGACGTGATCTTGTATGAATATTTGATTCTGTGCTGCCTGAGAGACGTGAGGTAGGTTGCTGATGGTTAACAGGGTTTGAGCAGCCTCATTGTAGCTTTCCACGTCAGACACTGGGAAAATAAAAATAAAAATAAAAATAAAAAACACCCCAAAAATGCATACATTGAATTTACATCTGATCCACTGCCAAATACTCAAAATACCTCTTCAACATACCTTCTGCATGTTCTGAAGAAAGGAAGTCTATAACGTCCTACAAGGGAAACAAATGTAGGTCACATTAACCGTGTCCCGTATAAGCCAGACCACTTGAGACAAGATGTGTGTGTATGGAAACAGTGACCCCAGTTATACTTTCACTGTCTTTGTCAGTGGATTACATCTGGACATAAAACGAATGCTTTGGATTTTTCTTAGGCAAATGATATTAAAAGGATAAGTGTAACTGGAATAATGGGTTTGATTTCACCGGCACAAGACACTTACAACTAGCAGGTCCAACTGATGTTCACATGGTTCAGCTGTGCCTGTCTCATTTTGTGCCTGCTCACAAGAGGCATCAGGGCACAGTGCATCTTGGGAGATGCCCAGTACATCAGGCATACTGGTCAAGATAACAAGCTAAATGTGGGATGGAGGGAGTCAGAGTGGAGAACTTGAATTATGGAATGTACAACCATGCATAAAGAAAATCTAATGCCAAAAAGAAAACAGACACACAAAGCTTGTTATGAGAATTATGTAAACATAAAATTACTGGATGGTGTGTATCTACAGCAGACTGGATGGGAAACGGTTTCTCATACCTCCTCCACTGTCTCTATGACCTCTGATACCACAGGACGTGGGGAGCGCAGGCTAGCAGGTACAAACACAGGGGCAATGCTGTCCTTACTGGGACTACAGGGAAGGTGCTGTTCTTCCTCCTCCTCCTCTTCCTCCTGCTGCTGTTCATTCTCCTCATCACTGTAATCTGACTGAGAAGCCCTGAGGGTGACTAGTGTGGGTTTTCTGGACTCTTGGGCTGATTGTGGCTTCAATAATTTCCTCCTCTTGTTCCTCGCTGATGAGGCAGGATGGGATTCAGATGCAGAGGAATGTGCATCCTCCCCAGAAGGGTAAGTCAAGGGCTTGGTGGGTTTTGGCACTCGCCCATACCTACAAAACACAATCACACAGCTCTGAATTCCTATTCCATCAAGTCAAAGTATTTTCTTTGGAAATTTTAAATGGGTATGTTTCTGGTTACGATGTTAGAATGAAAATCTTTTTAATAAAAACATGAAATATGGAACCTTGTTGGTCTCGGAGGTTGAACAGTGGCATCCTCTTCCTCAGAGGAAACATCCTGACTGGCTGACTTTCTCTTACTGGCTTGCCTTAAAGGGGATGCATCTTTATTTTCCTAAATGGTGAACAAAACTTTTAGTAAGGCAACTATGTGGAAATGCCTGACAATTCTAGACTGAAACTGAAGTAACAACCTGCTCTTTAGAGGCTCTATCACTCACACTGTCATCCCCATTATCTGTGGCCTTTGTGGAGGGTGATGGAGCCTTTTTACTTCTCTTCGAGGCCGGAGGAAGTGGCTGTTTTGGTGCTCTTGCTCGTGAAAGTTTAGCTGGCTTGACTGTTGTGTTCTTGGCTGCATTCACATTCTCACCCTTTTCAGACCTGAGTATTTGGACAAGCAGAGCAATTTAATACAATCCAAAGGTGCAATATACCAAATTTATAAAGCTCCATTACATTTCTGAGTTTGTAGCGTCCACAGGAAGTGCTGCTTCTGTGTCTTCAGGTATGCAGGCCTCAGCTGAGCAAAGAAAAGCAAAACAACATTAAGCTGCATGCAGAAATCAACAAGGGCCAAACACAAATGGAGAAACAGGAATAACTTGGATTAGAAGATATACCATAAAGCAGGCCTTGAAAGCTGTTTTAACCCGATTTGAATTCTAAATAGTGCTTGTCCCAATACAATGATTATTACTTTACCAGAAGTCCTGTTAAATCTAAGCACAACAAAATGTCAGCTCCTTTCTGTAGTGAAATGTTTGTACACATCTATGTACATTATTTAAATTGGCATGATTTGGTAACAATTAAGGACATTTTCATGAAATAACTGGAAGCTCATTCACCTTGTTCACTGCTCTTTCCGCCCGTTTTGTTCTCATTCTCATCTGGTTCGTTATTTGAGGCATCCTGTCCGGCCTTTCTTTTGCGTCGTCTCTTAGGCTCAGAAGCAGGGCTTTCCCCATCATTACAGAGGTCCTCATTCTCTTTCTCCTCCTTGTCCTCCAAGTCAGGAACTTGATTCTCATCATCCTCATCTTCCTCCTCCACATCACTCAGCTTCCTTGTAGCTTTTCTGCCTGTGAAGGGAATGGGAACACACAAGGCTTGTTGAATCGAATTGTACTCCTCTTACAGTATAATACACAACTCCCTGACTCAACACGATAAAAACCCATGGAGATGTAGTTACCTTTTGCTTTTCTCTTGTCCTTGCAGGGTTTCTTCTTGGCGAGTGACCTGAGTTTCTTCCTGTTTTTCTGAACTTCCATAATTTTCTCCAACAGCTTAGAAAAATACTCTATGTCCAGTTTGCGCCTCTCTCCTACAAAACAATTGACAGTAAATTTAGCATCTAAATATATTCAGTAAGTTCATAATAATGTTATGTCATATTTAAGCAGCTCAATATAAAATCCTACTGAATACTTACTGAAGGCTTTGTCAATCCTCCAGGAATTCACTCGTTCTTCTTTTTTGAATTTGTGCTGAAGGTTTAAATGAATGCTAGTTAACACAAACATTTTGGCTTCTTCATTATAATGCTCTTTGAATACATATATATCCAACGGTATTGTCATTTTGGACGCTGTAGTTTCTGAAGCTGCTGGAGCTGCACTGCATTGTACAGACAGGTGGTTGTTATTTAGTTTAGCCTCAGTGACTCATTAATAGAAATGGGTGGACAAATAATACAAACATCTGTCAGTTTAATACAACTGACCACAAACTACTGCTTCCTCTATCATACAGTTGAATTAACACGTCTCTAAAACAGTTTCAACAAACCTGAACATTGTCACCTACATGAAGTGAGGATTTTTGCAGGACAGCATTAGTTTAAGTTGGTGTAACTAATAAACTTCCAACCCACTGTACATATAATTATCACTGACCTTTATCTCTGCTCGGGATCTGTGAGGAAACAGTTGACAAATCATGGAAAAGTCTGTCCCCACCATACTAACTGCCAGGAAGAACATGTCTGTCTCTGGTGAAAACCAGGAAAGAATCAACAAATTATACTCATAACAATACATCAGAGCAAAATGTGTGACATGAGGATGTTTTAATGTACGTCTCAATATCCATTATCAACCTTCACTAGACCAGGGTTTTGAACAGATCCCTTTCCTGAAGCTGGAGTAAGTTGTAGTTGAGCCACGCTCAAAGATGGGGTCTCGATCTTGCATTGGGTTTGGTCCCTTTGATCGCTGGACTTCCACTGTTAAGCTGAAACACAGGTTGAGAGGATATTATTAAGCCAGCCACTGTTCCATCATGTCCAATATCACAATAATATAGCAATCATGACAACAAAAGACTCACGAGGACAACAACAGATACAGTAACTATGACAGAATACATATTGTGGCCTATAAAAGTCCACTGACCTCTCTTCATCAATGATCAGTGAGCCATCCTCTGCTACTTTGACCTGAGGAACCATGAGTGCTTCTTCCTCCTCTTCATCTGCCTCCTCCCTCGGGCTCACCGCTGTAGGGAGGTCTTCGGGTTCCCGTGCTCTCTCTGGAGACCTGCAGGGATTAAATCATAAGCATAAGGCAGAAAGAAGAGGGCTGGTTTGCAAGCAACCTGTACTGCCTGTTGATACAGATATTGATTAAAAATGTAGGCCATTACAGAGACTATTCACTATGCACACGCTGAACAAATCTTCTTCACTACTTTCTTTTCTATGTATGTTTTGCTATCTTGCCTTTACCAGAGGGAATCTGCATCTCCAGCCATCTTTCTAATCTATACCTTTAAAGCTGAACTCTTTTGTCACCTCTTGCAGCTATTAAAAAGGTGTACATCTGCATTCTGTATACATACTGAAGTATGGATGCAAACAGGTAAAACAAACTCAGAACGTAGCAAATAATGTGTCATTTTGTTATCCACTATGCACAGCATCAAGAAAACTATACAGAGAAAAGGTTTTAAAATGATGATGAGATAAATGTACTCTTCTCTTCCAGGTGAAGGGGGGACCACAGTCGTGTTCTCCTGAGCCGAGTCTTCTAAACTAGATCTGGAGAAATTGGAAAGTACAGGCACATAAGACACAGAGAGTAAGCATATACAGTGGCAGGAAAAAGTAGGTGAACCTTTTAGAATTTCATAGTTTTCTGCATTAATTTGTCATAAAATGTGATCTTCATCTAAGTCAAGACTATTGACAAATAGTCTTGACTTAGACTGGTGAATTTTTAAAGTCTTTGAAATCACTTTATAACCATTTCCAGCTTAATGTAAATCAACAAATCTTGATCGTAGATCCTCTGAAAGCTCTTTTTGGCGAGGCATGGCGCACATAAGCATATTCTTCTTCTGTGGCACAAACTCAAAAGGTTTGAGTGGTTTTTATCAGTCAAAGTAGGCCTAGTCCACACCTCCAAACTAATTTTCTGAACAAGACTCCAGGTATGCTAACAGAGTCCAATTAGCTTTTTTGAGGTCATTAACTCAAGGGTTCACATACTTTTTCCACTAGCACTATGAGGTTTTTATGGTTGTTCTCAATAAAGACATGAAAGATCAGAATTTTTTTTGTGTTGTTATATTAGGCACATGATATTTGTCAGTACTCTGGACTTAGATGAAGATCAGATCACATTTTATGACAAATTAATGCAGAAAACCATGAAATTCCAAAAGGTTCACATACTTTCTCTTGCCACTGTAAGATGTGTGATAATCAGTAGATAACATTATCTCTGGAGGTACAGATTAAATGCACACAAGCTTGATATAATTTCATAAGGGACACTTACGTCATGGGGTTAGACAATGGTAGATAACGGATAAGATCCCTCATTGTCATTTTGGTAGGGTCTAAAGTATATTCCTTTGTATGTGCTGTACGTTTCTTGAGATTCTGCAAAATCAAATGACGACTCCTTTAATTAAACACAATATATCTAACATTATGTAAATATGACACATGCGCTTACAGCAAACTCTCAGCTCACCTTTTCTTTGCGCCTCTCCTGTCTAAGCAGTTCTCTGAGCTTTTGGGCCTTTGCCAGCCTCTGTAAGTCTGACGGGTCATTCAGGAGTCTACTCAAGGAGGACGCGGGTGATGACAGTGAAAGCACACTCTTGGATGACACTAGAGTCTTGGCTTTCTCTGATATTTCAGTAGCTTCTCTGTCTGGTAGAGAGGGGGGTACTTTATCCAGTGGTCTGGAAGGAACTTCTTTAACTTGACCGCCTGGCGTGCTTTCTAATGGTTTACCACCATCTGCTGTCAGATGGGTTTGCTTTAGTAAGTCTTCAGAGCGAGGAACAGCTGGAGGCCCTGAACTGTCAGAAGAGACAAGGGTGGGTTTAAGTTGTACTTTGGGCTGCTTGCTTTCTTCTGAAGACCCCCGGTGGGTGGCCCGTGGGGGCCCGCCGCAGGACTGATTTGGCTGGATGTTGTTGGCTTATCGAGGTCCAAGCCAGACACTTCAACAACAGTTGCCTTTACAGGTGACTTTGGCATCCGAGCAACAGTGGAGGGGCGACCTGGGGCCACCTTGGGCTTGACAGCAAACCGCTTCCTTCTCTGGACTGCAGCTGAAGAGTTGGTTCCTTCCTCATTTTGGTTCTTACCATAACTAAACAGAAGCAAAAACATTTTTTGTTACACACAGTAGTCACAGCATTGTCATGGTTTCTAAAATAAAACTTCAGAAGCCATTTAAGCTCGTCACTCACTCTGGAGCCGTAGTATTTTCTGATGGGGTCACAGTAGACTTGTTATTGGTCACAGCAGCAGCAGCGATGTTCACACTGACATCTCTGGAGAGGTCACTGGCCTCCTGATTTGCAGAAGGGGTTTCCTGAGGTGCTGCTGCTGCTGCTGTTCTCCCCACCGTACTGACGTTGGGACGAACATTAAATCTTGACCGACGAAACATTGTGACCTGGAAGCACACAGGAAGTCAAAGCTACATGGATGTTCCAACAGTAAACCCTGATAACCAGTAGAAAAAAAAGTGCTCCTTTAGTAGAGGATATTACTCTGAAGTTATGAAGTGATGTACTGTGAAAAACAGATGGAGTATGTGTTTTAACTGACACACAGAGACAGATGTTACTGCAGTAAGAGAAACTGTTTCAATATATAACATTCTTAATGCAAAGAGCCACACTGAGTTTCCAAATTCTTGTCTTTGAACACAAAATGCTGTCTTTGCATAAGCATTGCCAAAAACACAACTAACAACACTAAGAATACAGGCTTCTGTAAAATATATACAGCTACATGTTCTAATAACAGATTAAATGTTGTTGATTACGGGCTGGAATGAATCTGGGAATAAATCATATGCGTGCTGGACAGAAAATTGTAGCAAGGTGCTACAATTCCTAAATGTCTACAGATATTTTAATGTTGTATGCATGTGAGATTCTGAGGACAAAATTATGAGCAACTTTATTTATAGTTATATAGTTGCGCTAATGAGTGAAGTCGGGTATAGATGAGGAGGATGGTAAATGTACAACATGTGTATCGTAAAAGCTGGTTTCGCTCTGTAAGTGCTGTTATGGCTGCGACACTTACAAGAAGAACTTAATTACACATTCTCAGCTAGCTGACAGTTGCTAGGGACGATGACAGTCCAGAAAACGTTAAGTATGACCGTAAAGAAAACCACAAGGAAATATCATGAATGTTCTAATAACACGACCATGAGAAATACTGGACGTTTACTAAGCTAACACACCTCTTCCAACCGAGTAGGATACGCGTCCATAATGCACAAAATAAGTCGAAACGTGCCTGAAGATAAGCTCAAACACATGACACTTGTAGTATACGAGTCTTTCTGACACCATGTTACTAACACAGACAAGCCTAGACATTTGTTTTTACAATTTTATAGCGTCTACATATGTCACTTTACTTGTAATAACGTACCTTTTCAAAAATATATCATTTGCTGGGAGAAAATTGCTTTTATTTAGCAACGAGGAGTAGCAAATAATTGTCCCCATGTACACACTTCCCCGCCATGTTTTTCTTGATGTGATGTTTACGTCAGTGAAAGTGCTTGTGGGAAATGTAGTCAGAATACAAGATGAGGAAAGACCGTACCAATCTACAGGTAACGCATGAATGTTTTGAGGGATCGAGGCAAGACTACCTTTTTGTCCAAGTATCTCAACTGTCCAGGGCTTGTTACAATCAGAAACACGCATTAATTAATTAATAACTTTATCTAGTGTCAGTGACGGAAGAAGTTGAGTTTAAAGTTAAAATAAGTATAAAATCGGTTAGGCTACTATATATACATTCTGTAATACGTACGTTTTAACAACAAAAATATCCTTATAGTACTAAAATATCAACATGTAAGCAGCATTTTGATGTTGAATTTTAGTAGTGGCACTTTGCATGTTCATTTTCAAAATACAAACTATCAATGGAGTAAAAAAAAAAGAAAATTTATTTTGTCACTGCAATATTGTGACACCAACAAAATTCTGTTTGGAGCCGAGGGCCATGGCCCGCTGCGTGCGTACATGTACGCGCCATCACAGGCGATTTGGGGGGGAGGGGGTCAGGGTCTTGCCCAAGGACACTTCAACATGTGAACTGCAGGCACCTAGATTCAAACCCTCAAGCTACCAGTTGGGAGACGACTGCTCTACCCACCGCACCACTGAAAGTCTCTCAAAGTTCATTTAATTAGAAAAAAAAAGTGTACATTCTTTTATAGTTGACTTATTTTGCTACTATAACTAGATTTTCCCAATTTCATATGCACTTTACAGATAAAGTAGGTTGTATGATAGACTTGTAATAAAATGTTTTACACTATTGCTTATGAAAGTTGATTGTCTACCACTGAGCTCCAATCTGATTAATCTTCCATCCATCCATCCATTTTCCTCCGCTTATCCGGGACCGGGTCGTGGGGGCAGCAGTCTAAGCAAAGATGCCCAGACTTCCCTCTCTCCAGACACTTCCTCCAGCTCCTCCGGGGAATG